TTTATTTATGTTTTTTAATTTTGGACTTGGATGTATTTTTTCATATACTTATTTGAAGATTAAATATTTGCAACAATAACCTTCATTTGTGAATGAACAGTAGACTATGGGTTTTTTTTTTTTTCTTATTTTGATTTTTAATGAATACTCTAGATTTTTCTCTTAGACTGTGAATTTTTCTTTTTCACACGTCCGACTACAAAGTTGTAAAATATGTAATTTATTTATCGCTCGATATAAACTCGAAATCCGAAAAAATACGTGAGCCGAGTTTGAGCATATAGGCATGAGGTCCGATGGTATTTGAGCTTGAGTCTATAATAATGAGGCCCGATGCTATATGAGTTTGAGCCGACCCAGACTCGGCTCACACGGTCCGATTGCCAGCCCTAGACATACGTATGTATATGATATAATTATCCTTAACCGTGTAAAGACATTATAACTTAAAATCCTAAATTTTGGTAATTCATCAATTTTGAACATTGATCGCTACCCGCGCCGTTGACTTAGTTTTCTTTTTTTGATAGATTTTTTTACAAATTTTATTTTATTTTCTTTTGTTATGTTGTGGCCAACAGTATAATAACTATAATAGTAAAATATCCATATTTTATTGTGATCAACAGTATAATAGTGCTTTTATGCTATGATGAACAGTCAAATAGCGGTCTCCCGAGAGTTCACAATTGCCGCGAGTATACAGTTGACCACAACATAGTAGTCGAAAACGAAAAAATTACAACCACCCCGGAGGTACAGTCAACTACAACATAATACCACAACATAGTAGTCGAAAACGAAAAAATTACAACCACCCCGGAGGTACGGTCAACTACAACATAATAGTGCTTTTTGGGGTATTTTTGTTACTTATTTTTTTGGGGTGAATTACAACCACCCTGGAGGTACGGTCAATTTACGAAGAAGAAAAATTCTCTTGTTTGAATAATTACATCTACCTCTCAACTATGATTTTTTCTCACACCTCCACCCTTATGCTGTCAAAAAATTCAACATAATCATCTAGTTTTCGTGGAATATGCTCTAGTTTGTACTCATTTTGTGTAAAAATACAGTTTCTGATGCACCACAATCTGATATATACAAGCCGAAAAACACATATTATGATCATCTTGCTTCAAAATGTGAAGTTCAAATGGGATAAAGCAGATACAAAAGTGATACTATTCCATATAATCTCGAAAATTCCATTAAATTTGAAACCGCAAGGATGGACGTGTAAGAAGATTTATAGTTGAGGGGATGATTGTAATTACCCAAACAAGAGGAGGTTTTCGTAATTTGATCATACCTTTGTGATGGTTGTAATTTACCTTTTTTTTTTGCATTGTAGTGAAATTAAGGTTTGAATGATTAAATTTAAATAAAGTTAGGTTCTAAGAGTAATTTTGTTATGATGAACTTGTTGGTAAAAGTAGACACGGCCGGCCACATTGACCATGGACCCGACCAAGTATGGGTCGGTTTCGGGTCCCGATTATTCGGACCGAGACCCGACGGGTCTACCCGGCGGGGGGCCCGAGGGCTCTGCTCGAGGACCCTTCGAGTCAATCCGGATTTTCCGATTTTTTTTGTCCAAAAATTGCACATGTGGGCGTTCGAACTCGAGAAACCAGGAAAGGTGAGCAATTCTTACAGCTAGGCCAATCAATATATTTGATTAAACTTAGACGATAAATATATATAATATAAAACGCTGGTGTAGAATGATAAATATGTTAAATAAATTATTAATTTCATATTAATTATTATTAAATGATTTTAATTAAATTATTAACAAATGCAATATAAAAAACTTTTAAAAAAATATATAGAATCACTGTTCAATACTTCAAACATCTATTATTAATTACTATATCAATATAATCTCCACTATTGAAAAATATAAAGTATTGAATCAATTCAATATATAAACAAACGCGTTTACAAACTCACTTATGTTATTAAAATCGATAGTGTGAAAAATTCGAATGAAAAATAGAATAAAATGTTTATTTAAAAAAATAGATTATAGCTCATTTCAATTAATTTAAATCGATTAACCTCAATTGTTGATAAGAACTTATTAAAATTATTGGTTATTTTATTATAAGATAATTATTTAAAAATATAGATGATGTTTATTTTAACAAATATAGATTATATCTCATTCTAATTAATTTGTTACTTTAAAAATAAAACTAAATATGACGAGTATATATAATCAAAATATTATGATGTGATTTCTCTTTTAATAATTGGTTTAATTTGTAAAAATCGTAAGAATTAAATCGTAGATCATATGATTTAATCATTTTTTTTTTGCATTTACATTTTATTCAAATATTATAATCGAATTGTAAGATTTAAATGGATCAAGCTCAAGTCCTTACAATTTTTATTATTATTATTATTATTATATTATATTTGTTAATAATTTAATTAAAATTATTTAATAATAATGAATATGATAATTAATAATCTATTTGACATTATTTATTATAATTATTTTACACCTTTTGTTTATGTTATATATATATTCCTTGTTATAATAATCCTAACTATAAATATATAAGGGTAAATAACAAACACCCCTTGAGGTATGGTCAATTTACAAAAAAATCCCTCTTGTTTGGATAATTACATCTACCCCTCAACTATGATTTTTTCTTACACATCCACCCTTATGGTGTCAAACTCAACATAATCATCTAGATTTCGTGGAATGTGCTCTAGTTTGTACTCGTTTTGTGTAAAAATACAGTTTCTGATGCACCACAAACTGATATATACAAGCCAAAAAACACATATTATGATCATCTTGCTTCAAAATGTAGAGTTCAAATGGGATAAAAGTGATAATATTCCATATAATCTCAAAGATTCCACTAAATTTGAGGAGTTGAGGGGGTGGTTGTAATTATCCAAACAAGAGGGGTTTTTTCATAATTTGACCATACCTCAGGGGTGGTTGTAATTTACCCAATATATAAATATAAATAACACTGCAAAATGATTGTAATAATTGTATAACTAATGTTTTATAAATTATTAATTGTCATGTTGACTATTATTAATATAAAAAATCTCGACTAATAAATGCATATATATTTAATTTTGAAAAATATAAAAAATTATGATTTAATTTAAAAGAAAGATTGAATTTTGATTATTTTTGAATTTTGAAATTTTGAAAAATTTCTCAATCATTATTTTCACTTATAAATTACCGATAATTCAATCTTCACAACTTTCATTTTATTTAGTTTATGTCTCAATGTCTTAATTGTTTCATTTTTTCCTAAAAATTTTTAGTGTTTAAATTCAATTTTTTTTTTTTTTATTCAAAGTTAATCTCAAGTTTTTTCAAGTTTCAATTTAAGTTTTTTTTCTTTCTTGTAATTATTTGGAAAAAAAAAAATTGAAAAACTGGTTTGAACCCGAACTCGACCCAGACCCGGATGGACCCGCCTCCCCACGGGTCGGTTTCGGGTCCCCTAAAGGTTGGAGCCGGACCCGGACCTGACCCGGCCCGTGGCCTTGTCTAGGTAAAAGAGTCCATAGCATAGGGTTTTCTTTCTTCATTCTTCGTTTTTCCCCTAAATCATAGAATCTGCCTCTGCTAAAGCCTAACTCAGTCTTTGTTGAATGTGATTGATGGGAAACCCTATGACTATTAATAGAATCTCCACCAATAAAAGATATCAAAACTTGGAGAAACTTTCTCTACACGTACTTGACCTACCTACATCAATATCTAACTCTATTCATCTCCTTAGAGAGAGAGAGAGAGAGAGAGAGAAAGAGAGAGAGGATCTTATCCCTCAAATTTAATTGAGTCATTGTTAGATTTCTCCCCAAAAAAAAAAAAAAATGTATGGTGATGCTGACTTATAGTAGAATAGAACACCTCTTTTCTTTTCTTTTTTCCCATCTTACCCCTCCCAGTACACAGACACACACACAAATATATATATATAACGATGACATAACAAACTCATAAACAATGACATAACGAAAAATAAGGAATTTCTCGATTTTTATTCAATGTATATAAAGGCACCAAAGCTCAATAACTACCACGAAAGAATAATAAACGCTAACAAAGGGAAGCAGCAGACTTTTGACATTAATGAGGCCAAACACCAGTGAGAATACATACATTATACCCACTGTTGCCTTCCCCCACAAAAATCAATCAACTGTTAACAAGAAGAAACAAATGTACATTCCTGGCAACACTAAAAACCTAAAACCTACTTTCTGCATGTGCGCTGCACGTACGAGAGCGAGAGATTCTCCTGCCAAAAGACCGAAAAACACCCCCGGCCAGAGAAACCCATAAAATTATCACCGTGCAACCTGCCCCAATTTTGAGGCCAGCACAAAGAATCGACTTTTTTTTTTTAAATCCTAAATTTGGTTAAATTTTGCCGCTGCTTCCACAACAAATTTCTAACTTTTTTACCCTGTTGTTAGATTCCACCAATAAAGAATGTCGTTAGCCAGGTCAGGTTTTTAACAGATGTTGAGCAATTGCCAACACATACCCTAATATTTTCCCTCGTGACCTAAAACTGACGGTCCTCTGACTTTGAGACGCTTGCTCCCCAACTCATTATGTTGCTGCCTATTATGATCTCTACTATTATTATTATTATTATGCACTTCTCCATGTTTGGTCAACACCTCTTCATTTCGAGTTTTCTTGAACTTAATGGAGATAGGAATACCAGTTCCCCTGCCAAATTTGTTACCAACCGAAACTTGTCTAGATTCAGTAGAATTCAAACATTTCGATGATGATGATAACTGTCCACAGCGCACTTCTCGTTGGTTCTTTTTTAATCTCTTGAAACCCTGAAATAAATCAAAGCGCAAAAACCATGTATTGAGACATTTTAAGAGAAATACACTATAGAATAAGTGTGTTCTCACTGATGCAATAAGGTAAATACCAAAACATGGAATTTAGCTAGAAAGAAGTTAAAGCAGAAAAAAAATCAATTATGAATCATGATTTTCGTAAATATAAAACTTGCTGAAATGTTGGTACTCCATAGTCCATTGTACACTTGATTTTTGCTTTGTTTTTACCAAAGAGAGTCAGGGGAAGTGCTTTTTTTTTTTTTTTATCTAGACTTGTGTCAAAGAAACATATATAAGCACAAAGTGGCTGAAATTTTATGGCATGAATATGATAAACCTTTATACCAAAGTATATCAGACATGACGAGTTGTACCTGCTGATCAGTAGTAGCAGAAACAGAATCATGTGCGATTTTCTGTTCTACTTTGGCAGAAGATCGTCGTTTAACCCTAAATATTTCTGAATCAGAGTCATCACTATTTTCGCTGATGGTATTTCTACTGTCTACCCCCTGAACAGGTTTGTTTTGGGATCTAACAAGTGGCCTGTTAGGGGATTGTGTAATGTCAGAGGCACTTCGAACGAATTCTCCAGAAGGCATCTTATTTTGATTCTCTGAGTTGGTGTTCGCATACCCCTGCTTGAGCACCAAAAGTAAAACACGTTAAGTGTAAGAACTTATAGTGAAATACCGTATCAGTTATTTTTCTTTAAAAAGTATAGCAGAACATAAACGAAAGTCAATCTTACTTCTGCAATTATGTTGAGATCTATACTGGACTTTAATGAGGATGAAGCTGGATGCTCTAACTGATTCTCTTCTAGGAAGATCGTGCCATAAGGAATATACCCTTCGTTATCACCTCCCGTGTATATGGTAGATAGTAAAAGAAAGTCGTCGTCATTTCTATGATGTTGTTCAAACTCCTGGTATATGTTTTCCTCCTGCTCAAAATGCATGGCTGCTGCTTCCATATTCAAGATGTCTTCCCTTACAGAAAGTGTTGTAGTAGTGCTACCACAAGGCAAATTAGATGACTTGATATCTGATATGGACAAAATACTAAATCAATAAAAAAAAAAGAAAGAAAGAAAAAGATCCATTATATATATTCCAAAATAGGATATTTAAATAACATAAGCTCTGCTATACCATGGCGAAGGCACATAGGGTGCAAGTAGCACTGGCAGTTTAGATATGCTACATAGCAATCGCGTTTGCAGATGCTGCATAGAATTGTTCCATGGGAAAAGGAAGAAATATCTGTGCACTCTCTTGACTTCACCAGACACCACCGAGCACGATGCTGAAATCGGATCAAATTTAGAAAAGAAACCTTTATGCTCTTATGACATATCAAATCTGCACATGTTTCTGAAATTGGGTCTTCAAGTGCTAGTCTCGAATATAGTATCATTGCTTCTTTACATAGGAGTTCCTCAAGGGGAAGGAAAGGCACCCTATTGAGTAGAGCATAACGCCGACTGGCAATTGATCCCAACGGAAACCAATCACCGGTTGAAAAGTTGACAGCTTCACCACAATTAAAACCTGAAACATACAAGAACACAAATATTATATTATATATTGCAAGAGACAACTTGAGAAAAATATGAGACTTTCAAAAATCTATACGAGCAAACTGATGACTTACCATGACTAAATCCGGCATGATAAGCTCTAGGGAAAGTTATTACATATTCGCCGGGCTTTTGTACAGCTTTGTAAACAGGAACGCCATGTTCTACCAATATATTTGGTGGGAAAAGTGTCGTTTTACCCAAAAGAACATCAAAAGCTCCATCCTCCCCATCCATGGATAAGATATCATGAGTATACACATGCTCCTTGACAACCTTTTCAAAATCGACAGCTGCATGACCGGGAATGCCATACCATGTTTTTGCAGCCCCACAGTGATGATAATTGATGCTGCACGTGCATAGAATAATGATCAACCAAGTAAAAATTGGAAAGCAAAAACACTTTGTGTATTTTAACTACAAAGAGAAAACAAGTACCTATATAAGTAATGATCTTCCACGTGCCAAGCAAACATGCTAAAAAGCATCCCTATGTAAAGCATAGGTTCAGTGACTCCCTAGAATGAACCAAATGTTAGCATATAGCATGGATGAAAAATTTAAAAAAAAAATACAAGCAAATAATTAGCACATACCGGGATTGCTGTCTCCAAAAGACGCAATGTAGATTTTGGCAGCCGAGAAAGTTTCTGAAACCAAGTAAAACACATAAGATAATACTAATAAGTTCCCCATAGAAACTGTTAAGGGGATTAATGACATGCAAAAAGAATGAATGAAAGAGATTTTATGAAGTTTTATAAAGAAAAGCAGTAGTATGGAAGATGAATGATCAATTGGAGAGGCGGCTTCAGTTTGAATCACTACTAAATGCACTCATTCCAGCACCTATCCTCTGAAACTATGTTAGAAATGAAAAATGTTTTTTTCTGAAACAACATAAGGGCATATATACAAAAAAGAAATGATAAATAACTGCAACTAGCGTCCTAAATCCTAATACCAACAATTTCATGAGACCAACTCAGGAAGGGGGAAAACATGCTCCAATTCTCTTTTCTTCTAAAAAGTTAATCAGGCATTCAACTAAAGAAAAAAAGAAAGACAAAAATGCATGTTATTTTAAGAGAAGAAGAACACCTTCAAATTCCATCTGCTTTTTCCAAGTGGATCACTGGGAGAAGATGAAAACGCACTACCATCGACATCACATGCATATTCAACACTTTCGGTCTTTCCGCAAGCTATTTCATGCCAAAATTCCTTTTCCATATATGTAGCAGGAAGGCCTCCAGCAGTATAATATCTACGAGCATAAATCTTGTTCGCCATTTTCTCAAAATCACGAAATGAATAGTTTCTGAAAAATTAAACTCAAATTCAACACAAGAATGACAACTAAATTGCAGCAAAATACCTCATATAAAAGAGGAAAAGTTACCTCCCACTCATAAAAAACGTGACCTTGTCATCACTATCCCATTCAGCCAAACGAAGTGGTTGCACCCTAGTTGTAAACTTGAAACCAGCCTTCTCTTTCATTAGAACCACACCAGCTGGTACGGAAGCACTTACAGGTGATACAATCTTGCATATACCTGAAGATTGAAGCCCAATTAGCTGCAAGCTCTTCAATCATTAAATATTAAAAGAAAGTCAAACAAAATAAAGGTATAGAAGAAAAAGAAGATATGAAATAAAACAAGAAACCCGCTAATCAACATGTTAAGAGGTAAGATAACAAGGAAAAAACAAAAAGGGAGCGCTCGGAAACGTTAGGGCATATGAGCAAATAGGGAGAGTCTGATAAGTAGTAAAATGTCATTTTAAAGCCAATAACTGAAAATCAATACGTAAATAATAAGAAAACTTTATGCGAAGATGTCAAATCCAATCTAAGATTCTATTTCTAAGAAAACTTTATTAGAATGTTGTAGTGCTTTACCATATTTTGAGGCTTCTGGAGCAATCTTTTGAAGATAGACTAAAGGATCCTGGAATTCATCTTTAGTAGGACGGTACACCGGACAATCCAGAATTTCATCAGTCCATTCAAGGTCTGAAGTATCAAACTTCGCCACTTTGTTCTTTGAAAATACATCTTTCTCACTGTCATTGCTGCCAAATTTAGAGTACACATCGGCACTATTATGCAACCTCACACCACATGGAGCAGAAGTTCGTAAAGCATCACCCCCGCTCCTACTCATCATGCTGCCAATAAAGGTTGAATCATTTTCAGTTTCTGTTTTCATCCGTTGCATCCTTTTGCGCTTCAAAAATTCTAGTTTAGCTTCCCTTGATGAACAAACCCTTCCTTCCACCTGCCAAATAAAATCATATCCATTAGGTAAAAGGATAACACATCGCCAATTAAAATTTTCGAACTCATCAATGCAGCTTAAAAAGAAAAGGAAAAAATGTTGCTTCATGAATTTGGATATGGAAATGCTTAAAACATCCAATATTTTGTTTATTTTGTCATCTATGTTTATAATTCTCTGTTCTGGTTTATGGTGTTATATAACTGAACGATATCCTATTTGAATCATTCATAAGTATGCAGTCAAGGATATCAGCTGAGGAAATGATGGGTTGTTGCAAGGATCTAGGAGTTCATCATTTAACACGACCATAGTATTTAGTTGGAATTTCAAAAACAAAGAAAAATGCACAATTTCTTGGAATGTCTCGCCACTTAAATGATGCAAACAACTCAGTCCAAATAATACCTAAATTCGAATCTATTTGCTAAGAAATTTAAACTATATCAACCAACTAATCTATAAACTTGGGATCTCCCTGCCATCAATTAACACATTTATCACAATTTGTTCTACAAAAGGAAAAAAAGTGATATCTTAAAGAGAACGCAGAATTAATATTTCCACAACAAATACAATTGACCAAAACTTCAACCAAATAAACATTTTATATTAAAGATATATTTTACCAGAAAAATTAAAAATTCTAAAAAGTTTTTCTAGACTAATTAAGAGGTCAACTGGCGAGATCTAAAATATGTGTAGAAAGTGGAACAGTTCCAAGTGTAAAAACTCCACAGAGTAATACTTGGAAATTAAAATAAATAAACGAAAAACACGAAGGAGACACCACAAATTACGAACGGATAACCAAAATAAAGGCCACCAAAAAAATTTAAAAATACGTACATTTAGCAGTCCGGCGAAGGTAAGTAAAAATAACAAATAACTCCACAACACCAAAACTTTTTAAATTAACAGAAGAGTGTAGATAACAAGCACTGCTGATATTGTGGCAACGCCGTTGAACAGCCAAGCAGAGAACCAATTTTTTTTTTTAAAATTATTGATTCGAGCCATAACCAAAACAATGTTCGAGATCCAGACGATTGTAAAAAGCAACCAGGATTACACATTAACAGCAGAAATCACAAAAAATAAAAAAATAAAAAATTGAGGGAAGCGTAGCATTGACGGCACGAAAAACCACAAACATGAAAAAAATTATACAGAAACGCACCATCTCATTCCGATAACCTTCGCCTTTCGCCACTGTCTTCGCCTCTCACCACACACAAAAAAATAAGACCAGAAAACGGTAAAATTACTCCACGCCACGATCCAGAGCTGCAACAACAGCGGAAAAAACTCTATCAAGCTTCCCACATTCTCACAGCAACTCCGAGGACCGAGTCAAACTCAGGGATCGGAACGATTCCACCCGCCGAGTCACACAGAGCCGATGAAATTGAATAGAGCGCTCCGTACGTGTCGAGGAAATGTCGAATTCAGCGGCGACACTGTTCGCCGGAGAACGAGAGGCTTCCCGGCGAGATGTGCAGACAACGGCGTTTTGTGTGTGTGAGAGAGAGAAAAAGTTTTAGAGAGAGAAAGAGAGAGAGAGAGAGAGAGGAATAGTAGATGGAATCCTAACTAAAGTATGGGGTTTGCGAAACCGAAAAAGGTAAAAGAGAGGATAATTTTATAGTTTCCATATAAAAAAATGCATCAATAAATTCATTAATTACCATTAAACAATCGTAATTACAGCGAAGAAGTGCTAATCCGGAAAGAATTAAAAAATATTTAATTTCGGGATATTTTTTTATATTTAAAAGTTAAAAAAAATAAAAGGATGAAAGAAGTGTGAACTGCGAAGGAAAGTGGTGGTTGTTAGGTTGTTCAACCAAACGCCTGCCGGCCTTTAAAACGCGCCGTTTTGACCAACTTTTGGTATACCAATTTTGCCCCTAACTGGAGTCCGTATTCACAGGGTCAGGTTGTTGGATTAGATAGGAAAAAAGTGGCGTTCCCGAGGGTAAAACTGTGGGGATGGAAAATGACGGTGTTGCCGATGAGATGTTTCTGTTTGGGTCAGAGGGCGGGGGTGGGGGAATTATCACGTGCGCGAAGGAGCAGTGGGACAGATGCGTAGATGCCGTTAATCAAATCCGTTGACTTACCAACTTGTTCTTTTCTACGGACGGTCAAGAAACGAGTCCACAAATTACAACAGGGGAAAACGGCTCCATGTGCATTAAAGTTCACGCCTTTGACACGTATCAACTCCGTTTTGACCTAACTTTATGCTGATTACGTTCGACGCTCCAATTTACCTTTTTGCCCTCGGTTCTTGGAATCTCAATAATAAGTACGGTAAAATTACGAAAAAAACACACGATGTTTGGGTAATTACAACCACCCATTTGACTATGAATCTTTTGTCCATTTTTGCGGTGTCAAATTTAGTGGAATCTTATAAATTATATGGAATATTCTCAAGTTTGTACCCGTTTTATCCTATTTGAGCTCTACATTTTGAAGCAAGATGATCATAAGAACCGTGTTTTGGCTTGTATATATATATCAGATTGTGGTACATCAAAAACTGCATTTTTGCACAAAATGAGTACAACTTAGAGAACATTCCACGGAATGTAGAAGATTATGTTGAATTTGACACTGTAAGGGTGGACATATAAGAAGATTCATAGTTGAGATGGATAGTTGTAATTACCCAAACACGAGGGGTTTTTTGTAATTTGACCTTACCTCAAAAGGTGGTTGTAATTTACGTTAATAAATATTTCGAGTAGTTTGAGTTAGAGCGAATTTATTAAAAAAATTAATAAATATATATGCATCTTATCATAAATATAAAAATTCAATAAAATATGGTCTATGAAATGCTACATTCGGGGTGAAGTACACTGGGTGATTTTTCATCATAATTTATATAGATAACTACCACATATACACATGGTTGTTCTTTATTATATGTAGATCAACGGTGTAGAATCATCTATCGTATTTCACAGAAATGTACCATCTATAAAACCCCAAAATACTTATCGTTACTTAGCAACAATCGGGCAACAATGGAGTAATAGCCGTCTTCATTATTTTTTCCTTTTTTTTTTTTTTAAATTTGAAACTAATTATATGTATACATATAATGACAGGTAATTTAGTCCCTCAAATTAGCTCTTTTTATGGAGTTATTTGAAATTTGACTGTTTTGACATTTTAGCATGATATTTTGGTATTTATTTTCCCTGCCTAAGAATTGAGTTTTCTAATGAAATAGTTATATAGTTAAGATTATTTTTCACTAAATTATTTATATTTCTGTAAATATTTATAAAGAAGGATATTTTTTTCCTTGTTATGGCCAACAAGATTGTTAACGAGGCCCCTCCATTTATGCAATACATTTAGTTTTGGCCGAAAAATAGGATTATGAAAATACTTAGTACTTTTTTGAGATGATGATTCTTCAAAGAACCAAATATAACTTAAAAATAATTAAACTATTCATAATCGAAACTTAACGTGCATGAAAAAAAATGTTTCATGAATGTTCTTCTTGGAATGGAATTAAAAAACAGTTGTATTTTTTAATATCCATGAAAAATTAACTCAAAACATTTTTAATAGAGTTTATACATTTGAAAATTAAATAAAAAGGAATACTATTATTCCATAAGAGCAACTTCAATAAAGGTATTATTAGGATTAATATGATTAATACTCCCTCCGTTTCCTTTTAATAGTCGTTTTTCGCTTTGCATATGGATTAAGAATTTCCTTAAATGTGTCTTGATTTAGATTATATGAAAAATGTATATTTTAAACTAAAATGATCTGATCTTATAATTAAGAAGCAGAGAGAGAAATGAATTAAAATTAAAAAAAAAGGTATTAGAAATAGTTACAACTTACAAGGGTATAAACTAAAAATTAAGTAATTAAAAGCAACTCCAATTGAAAATACCAAAATTGAACTATCAAATATTTATTTGATATTTGAGTTAATATTTTACTATTGTTTAAAATTCATCTACTCCAACCATGGTTATCAAATTAATTATCAATTGGAAATTTATGGGTGATTTTATTTGCAATTGCCACATGTCCACTTTTAATTGGATGTTAGATAGTTATACTTTTGATATATATAAATAAATAAATGGCATCTAATCCGCAGGCGTTTGGTTGGAGGGTAGTTAAGACTTTTGGAGTGAGAGTGTAGGGCGAGGCGAAACGTGGAGAAAGGGAACGCGGGATGGACAACACGTGGACCAATGAAAGGAGGATTAAGTCTACGTGGCGGAAATATAGGGTTAGAGTTGTCAAACTGTGTGCGTTTTGTTTTGTTTGTGTGTGTGGGAGTGCCAGAACGGAAATAGCTGGCGGTTAAAGGCGGTTTCACGTTCGCTACGTGATGGGGCCCACCAGCTCTTCTCCCGTGATGGGGCCCACCAGCTCTTCTCCCGCTCCTTTGACGATAACTGACCCCAATTCTCTCTCCTCCCTCCCCCTCTCTCTCTCTCTCTCTCTCTCTCTCACACACGTTGTCGCAACTCGCAACTACTCCGTTTCCCCTACTCCCACTTTATAGTCACATTATAATACTAAAAAAATATATAAATAAAATAAATGTATTTCTAAAATGTAAAAAAATTGTTTTCCAATATTAAAATGAGTTTGTATTTTGATATCTTATATATAAAAGAAAGAAACGCTGGGCAACCCTAGAAAAACCCTAATGGCATATTTGTAATTAATTAAATCTTCTAATTATTAAATTCTCTTTTTCGTTTTTTTTAACTTTCGCTCCTAATTTTCAGCCCTAAAATCTCTAATGCACAATTAATTAAATCTTCTAAATATTAAAATCTCTTTTTTTTTTTTTGTTTTTTTGTAATTTTTTTTTATTTTATTTCCAGCATATTTTTTGTAATTTTTTATTTGTTTTCGAATTTTATCACATTTTTTATATTATTTTATCTCCAGCATATTTTTTGTAATTTTTTATTTATTTCCATCTCAATCTTTTTTGTTCCGATATTTCGGATTCCCAAAAACTTCCAACACTTTCAACTTCTCTCTCCCACTTCAAAACGTTTATGTTTTCTCTTCATATTTATATCCGACCTCTCACTTCTCAACCCATTCATATTTAGCTATTTTGCAAAGTGAAACCAGAATATACGGTAAGGATTCTCCCTTTCACCTTTTTTTCACTCCCTCTGTACATTTTATTTGCATCTGTATTTTTCTCATGTGTTTGTATTGCACCCTTTCATCTTTTTTATCAATTCGTGGACTTTGGTCCTCCGGAAGGTCGATATCGAACTTAATACCCAATTCAGAACAGGCTTTCCTTTTCATAATGCTTCAATCGGTGGATTCACAAATAATAAATGAAACAGGGTGAGAAGCTTCGTAAAATTAAGAATTTTAAGCTGCAGGCGGTCGGATGTGAAGATAGATAAAGATTGTGGGTGTTGCTGCAATTTACAAAAGTTCTAACAGCAGGGAAGAGTTTTTTCAATAATTACAGTTTGACCCCCATTGTGGCTATAATGCAATTTTTGGAAGTTTCTCAGTCATGTAGGAGTTTTTTTCAATAATTACAGATTGACCCCGTTGTGGCTATGATGCAATTTTCAGAAGTTTCGTAAACTGGCAGGAGTTTCTTCAATAATTAATATAAAAAACATATGAATAATGTATTGCTTTCTATTTACAGTGGCAAATAGGAAAACAGTTGTTGACAACCCTATCATGGAAATCCACTGATATTATCAAGCAAGGTATAATAGTTTTTAACTCTATTGTTGTTAATCTTCAGTTTCCTTGCAATTAGATATAAAACTTGCTATCTTGGCTTTATCTGAGGTGAACATAATGTATGTGGTTTAGTATTTCAAATTATTTGTGCTGTGATATTGATCATAAGTTTGGTAAGAACTATAATGTCTCTTGATTGTGGTTATTAAGTATCTAGGTGTATTACTATGTATATCATGTATGCAGTTGTATGAACACTCAATGCAATACATTGTGATGATAGTCAATTGGTGTAAGGGATGCAGTACTGAGTTCAAAACTTTTTTGTGTTTCATAATAGTTTCTATCGTTGGACTTGCAATCATGGCATTTTTGTTCCTGCAATTATTGGTTTTATGTGCTTCCGTTAAACTCTTATCTTCTTAGTGTAGTCACATTTTCCACGTCTTATTTTACTATGTGTGAATCGTTTCAGTTCTAAGCGTCGATGCAATCGATATGTCGGGGAAGCATGAAGTTGATCTTGACACAAATATATGGAAGGTTAGGAGAAGGGCTTAGTTACGATGCAAGATGCAGAGATAGCCTTTTCCGATGATATGTTGTCGATAAAATTTGCTTATTTTTTATTTTTTGTTTTGTGTAGTAAGTAGACTTAGTTTACTATGTTCCACTGATGAATTATTAATGAATGATTGTAATAAAAAATTTCATCATACGAATACATCAAATGTTTTTGTATATACTTACAACATTAAAACATGCAATTTGTTGTCCCGTGCATCGCACGAGTACAATTACTAGTTTCTCATAATCTAAAAATACATCCTGCAGATTGAGTTATTAAAAAAAATAGCCATCTTACCAACCATTCACAAATTGACATGTGGCAATTATATATAAAATTATCAAAAAACCTTCAAATTGATAATAAAATGTGATAACATGGTTGGAGTAGATGAGTTCTAAATGTATTTTAAAACATTATCTTAAATATCAAAGGAGCATTTGATAATCCAATTTTAATATTTAGCATTGGAGTTGCTCTAACTACACATTTGGCCCTGGGGTATCGAAATTATTTACAATTTGGTCAAAGTAAATATTAGATCTTATCTGTGGTGAGTCCAGAAATGTGATAAAAGGTAGGCTAAAAATTCTGGAAATATGGGGGTAGCGCTCCCGAAAAAAATATAGGATTTTTTTGTGACTTTTCAGAAAATAGAAAAATAAAACAATAAAAAAGGTTTTTTTGCATTAATTTGAATTTTGGATGAGCTAATTAACAATAATTGAGGCTTTTTT